TATTTGCTTATTATTTCTTGCCTATATCTTGTAATATGAGAAACTACTTGGCAATAACAATACACAATGTACTAACCATTAAAATAAATAAATAAAAACATAAGTGAATGCTACCTCGCATTGAAAAGTAGGAAATGAGAGCTGTAGCTCAAATCTCTACATGTCATTCAGTGAAAGGCAGCAAGGGTCTACATACACACAATGAGCAGTGACGCTGCAAAGCAGGAAGAGGGCCTTTTGTTACCCCACTGGAGCTCATGCTACAAGGGAAAGAGTGAGATGGGGAAACCGTAAAAGGAAAAAAAAAGAAAACTGTAAAATTAATTTTTTTTTTTCTCCCAGAACCAGGGATTGAACTTAGGCCCTTGCGCTTCACGCTTAGTCTACTGAGCCATCTCCCAGCCCCAATATATTCAATATTAAAAGGAAAAAATATTTTTTTAAAAAAAGGAAAAAAATATATACAAAAAACAGAAACCAGGGGCTGGTGAGATGGTTCAGTGGTCTAAAGCACCTACTTAAAACAAGCTTAGCAAAGCATAGGGACCGCAGTTCAATCCCCCAGCACCACATGCCAGCCAGCCCTGACCCCTGGTGGGCTGAGCTGGCCACACACACACACACACACACACACACACACACACACACAAATAAATAAAAAATTTAAAAAAAAAACAAAAAACAGAAAGCAAAAAGTTAAATCGACTGGAAAAAAAAAATTGCCCTGCTTATAAATGACAAAGTACTAATATATGAACAACTAAATTCAATAAGGAGTTACATGCTTAGAATTTTAAATGGACAAAGGATGAAAGCAGGCAGTTCACACACAAAAAAATCTCCGTCGGGCGTGGTGGCACCCACCTGTAGCACTTGGTAAGCTGAGGCAGGAGGATTGTTCCAAATTTAAGACAAGCCTGGGATACAAAGGGAGCTAAGGCTACACTGAACTTTCAGAGACCCTATCTCAAAAAAACAAAAATCCCAAATGCCCACTGAGTGTAAGAAAAAAAAATTCTCCCAGCAATCAGGGATGCTTACTAAAACCACACTGAGGCACCATCTCACACTGGACTGGCCAAAGTGTTGTAGCCTGACTAGATGAAGTGTTAACAAGTATCAAGTGTACATTCTGGGGCCAGGGAGATGTCTCAGTAGAATAAGTGCTTACCTGGCAAGCATGA